TGTGGCAGAGGCGGAGCAATCCAAAAGCCAACTGGAAGGGAAAAAAGAGCCAGAAAGGGGGCGTGGCTTGGCGGAGAATGAAGTCATAGGTGTGGTTGAACTGGGCATACCCAAGGGACTTCTGAAGCAAGGAAGCATTGGCACGAAGAATGGTTCTTTCTCGACGCACCCAATCCCCAACGACGACCCGAGCAACAAGCCTTCCATAAAACCCTCCCCCGGCCTCCCGCCGGCTGCGCCCACTACCTCCCCGATTTCCCCACAATCCAACGTCTCCAGCAGCAGCGAGTCACCGTCCGATTCGGAGACTCCGCGCCCACCACGGGCGTCCATTTCTATTTTTTCGCGCCTCTCCTCGGACTCTGGTGGCTCGCTGCTCGAATCTCGCCGGTCCGCATTGGAGGCGCTCCCATCGCCAGCGCGACACGACGCTCCATCCGTCACCCCGGGAATCGCGGCGACGCAACCGTTAACTACCGCGGGCGTGGGCCTGCCGACTGCAGCATTGACCCCGGCGGCGGCGGCGGCGGCGGCGTCGGCGACCGAACGAGAGGGGAAATCCGCGGTGGGGCAATCAACTGCGAGCTCTACTACAGGCAGTAGCTGCTGGACCGCCTCGGAATGCGAACCCAGCTGTTCCGAATCGACGGATGCCGTCGTGCCTATAGCGCAGCCATGCACGATCGCCGACGCGCTGCTGTTTGATCGCAATGTGACTGCACGCAGATGGGAGGCCGGCAGTACCACCACCGGCAGTTCGAGCTGTTCTGACAGCGTCCCCGTGGCGTATCCGCTAGATAGCGATTACTCGTCGGAAGGAACCTCCCCGCTGGATGATTCGCGGTTAATAACTGGCAGTTTTAGCGAGAGATGTGGCTGTAGGAGCGGCCCGAGAAGCGGCAGGTGGCGCGCTGTGCCTCGTCTCAGCGCCGATTTCAGCAGCAGCCCGGCGGCCTCCCCGCATCTTCCGCGCACAGCGCTTCCCCCGGAGCTTCTGGCGGTCGTCCCGCGCGGCGGAACGGAACCGATTTCCGCTGGTATTGCCGAACGGAGCAGAACGGTTATAGCACGCGCCCTCCCACTTGCAAGGGTTCCGCCACTTGGAAGTGCCGCGCAAGTGAATCGGCGAATTCAGAGGCGTTTTACCTCCCCGGGCCGGCCTCAGACCGTTGCTCGCGAAACACCGTTGTTGGACGGCGAAGATCGCGTGTTCGCCTCTCGGATATTACCCGATCGACGGTCACCGAGTCGCCTCGAACGAGTGAGAATTATTCGGACTGCGAGACAAGATTCTTGCCCCATACCACACGGGTCGTCTTCTCCTGCGCTCCTCGCGCGAAACACGAGCGAGCGGGCAAGCTTGCGGCGGGTGGCGGCAGAAGGCGGAAGGGACCGTGGCGGTGGGGGGAAAGCCCTAGCAGATGTAGGGGAGGGCGGAAGGGAGACGCGCGTTGGAGACGCGGCGTTGAGGCTTCTGATGGCGGGGACGGGGTCGAACGCGGGGATGAAGAGTGGCGGATTTGACGGGGAGAGAACGGTTCCGCGCACGCCGCAAAGTGCGAAGGTCGTTTTCCCCTTCCGTGAGGGCCAAACGAGGCTCGTCGCGCGGCACACTGGTTATCCTATTTCGCCAAACAACCTTCGTAAGCCCTCGCGAAACCCTTGTCCCAAATCGCTGAGGCGAAGCACGTCGTCAAGCGCCCTGAAAAGCACTTCCTTGACAACGCCGGGAAGCGCGGGGAGGTGCCACAGGAGAAGCACAAGTGCGGCCTCGGGGCGAGCCGAGACGGACAGCAGGCAGAAGTCCAGCAGCGCACAAGGCGAACGCGAGAACAACGTGAATGAGGGTGTTGTGGCCGCTCTGGACTTGGCTGGTTCCCCAACCTCTGGCTTTTATACCACTCCCCAGCTTCTTTGTGGGGCTTCTAAGCAGTGCAGTCTCAGCAGCCCTTCCAGGCAGCTGAAGCATGGGAGATCCCAGGGGCACAACCTGGGAGTCAAGAGGCCAGCCATGCCCTTTGACTATTCGAACGAGGAGGAGGAGGAGGCGAATTCGGAAGAATGGCGCATCAAGGGCTGTGTTACAGGCGATTCGGGGATTGGAATGCCCAGTGCACGACGCACTTGCACGATACCAGCGGCAGGATTCTCCAACAAGCAAGACCAGCAGCAACTGCCACCAGAGTGCAAGTCAGTGAAATGGCGTGGCGCCCCGCTAAGGCTTCCCATGCCTGACTCCAGCGTTCAATTTCCCTGGGGTGATAGCCCCCTCGATCAGTCTCCCTGGGATGATTGTTCTCTATTAGACAATGTGCCCACGTCTTGCCCCACGGCAATCCAACACAGACAGGTCCCAGCCTTATCTAATCAAGAACCATATGCCGGGAGTGGGTCATGGAGACTACCCATTGCAACTGACGCTGCCTCCGGCCACAGCTATGGTGACGGTGCACTGAAGGGTTGCATGCAGCCATCGGAAGAAGCAAAATGCCAAAGCACGGAGACTGGAGAAGTGAAGCTGAAGAGTGTAAGTGAGAGACGGGTCTCATTCAGCAAAGTGATCCAAGTCAGGAGGATTATAACAGATTGTAAGGGAGATGAAGAGAGTAAGATGATGAAATAGGAAGAGAAGGAATTCATTATTACCATAGAGTGAACTAAGCTCTTCATCTTTTGTTGCACCATATTGAGAGCTGAACAATGATACTGGGCGAAGAACGACCTTTCAACAGTCTCGGGTTGTGGTTCCCAATAAACAGCTGAGTGGGATGGGGAGGGATGAGTTGAAATTTCGAGAGGTGGGGAGGGATAATTTATACTTCTGGTATCTGAACTGAACCATTTTCTCTTCCGATTTGTTTGGACACACGTGATGCACGTCCAAGGGCTGTGGTGTTGGTGCAAGCCAGTGAGAGTGGGACACGCCATCGCGCTTTCCGCACCTCATTAGCCACGCAGCGACACGTCTCACACGTGCAAAGTGAACCGCAATGTGTTGGCGGACTTGGCTGCGGGGGTTGGCCCTAGCATAAGTGGCATACACTGTAGCTGTGCCAATACCACGTGGCGAGTGCATTTCGCGCGTATTACGGGTTCAGGGCGGAGGTGTTTCGCGGGCAAGGCTGTTGCAGGCACCGCACGCGATTGACGAACCTCGCTAGCGAGGCTGGTGATGCTGACACTATGTGGAGCTGCTGCGTATCAGCGACAGGCCTTGCACACTTGCTCCCAGGCGGCGTCGAATTGCATGGTTTTGGATGATGTTATTGCGACGAATCGAATGTACTGTAGCTGTTTCGTCAAGTAACCCGATGTTTCCACAAGCTCAATAGGGGCCCTAGAACACATCACCACGAGAATGCAACATTTCGCAATGCTCGCCCGTCCACTCGCCTCACCTCGCCGCCTCACCAAACAGGAGGACTCGGTCTGGTCTCATGCTCATTCCATGCCATATCCAAACCAAACCAAGCCATGACCGTTTTGCTCCAGCTGTCTCTTTGCTTACCCCTCACCCTCACCCGGCTAGTTCCTCCTGCACCCCCCAAAACATCCTCGACCATGACCAGGGGGGCACCATCAGCAGCTGCAAGGAGAACTGAGCTGAGCCAACCTCTCTGGCCAAGCTGCTGTGGTGGTCGTTGGTGCATTCAAATCACCAGTGGGGAGTCCAAGCAGTGGCGGCGCAGGCCTCCAACAGCTGCAACGTGGCAATTCGCCGCAGTTGTACTAGAAGCCACCTGGTAGTACGTTACTGCGTCACGAAGCCCACCTAGAGCTGCTTACGTGTCACTTGATTTCACTCGGGGAGGAAACGATACGCTACTGCGACACTAAGCCCACCTAGAGCTGCTTACGTGTCACTTGATTTCACTCGGGGAGGAAACGATACGCTATTGCGACACTAAGCCCACCTAGAACTGCTTACGTGTCAGTTGATTGGGGAGGAAACGACGCGGCGCCTTTTTTCACTCTCCCAGACCAGCTCGATAAACAGAATTGTTCTTTCTAGGTCGAGTACAGGCGGCTGATCAGTCGTGCTGGATGGGGGTCATGGCAGCGAGAATTCACATCCACGTGTCGCCACCTGATTCGCCGCTCGACCTCTCGAGCCTCTCTTTCGCACTATCCAGCCCAAAATCTAAGACACCAGAGCCACAATCGCTACCACTCTCAGCCGCTCCACCTTCTCCGCTAGCGGCGGCGGCGGGCGCGGTGCCTCCGGGCGCCGTAGCCCTGACCGGCGGTTGCGGGCAGAAGTCTTTAAAGCAGTCGCTATGTGCCGCGGTGCTGCGGCTTGTGCAGGAGGGCGTGGAGAAGGACGGGTACGGCAAGCAAGCCGTCGAGGCGCTGGGGCGACACTTCGCGTCGCTCCCTTCGCGGTACGCGCGCTTCGTCTTCCAGTTTTCACGGCACGCGCGCTCGCGTCGGTGTATTCTTCATCTTTTTGTCACACTCTTGCCTATCCTTGATTCTAATTTCCTTCGCCGCCTCACCGTGCCCCCTCTCGACTCCCCTTTGCGGGCCCCTCTCCGCTCCCCATTCCGGCCCCCTTCCTGCTCCCTTCTCCTACTTTCCCCCCTGCTCTTCCCCACTTTCTGCTCCCCACTCCGGCCCTCTATGTCCCCCAACGCGTACACACGCCCTCCAGGTACGCTCTTAGCGTCGACCCGCACCGCCATGATGACGTCATGCTGCACATGCGGTTGATCAACGAAGTGCGCGACGCGAACCAGTCGGACCGCGACCACGGGCCAATGGTGTGCGTGCGACGCGTGTGGCTGGGAGCCGCAAACCTGCCGTCCAATCCCAGCACGCCAACACCACGCGCCGCTGCCGCCGCCAGTGGCGCTGCTGACAGAGACAGTTCTGGGCAGTCGGAACAAACGAAGCAACAGCGACGGAAGTCGAGCAGCCAGCCGCGTCGCATTCCAAAGCCTATATTCGGTTCCTCCGCCGCCCTCTCGTTGCTCTACGTTTGCAGCCCCACAGCGGCCGCAATGACCGCCGCAAGTAACGCCGCCACATCCGCCGGCGGAACTTCAGGATCAAACGGCGGCTCTGGTAACCAGGTGACGAGGCAACTGTCAGGAAGCGGACGGACAGGTGGCCAATTCTCATTGGCTGCGTGCGTCAACGCGAGCAGCGGAGGTGGGATGCGCGGAGAGCGGGGTGTGCCTGCGCCCGTGCCAATTCCGAGACGGAAATCGGGTGCTCAACTTATAACGGGTACAAGAGGTTCCGCCTCCAGCCTTGAGGGGAGGAGCGCGGAGCGGGGTTCAGGATGCGCGCTTGGGGAGGCCGAGGGGGACGGCGCGCGGGGGAACGAGCAGCGGGGACTGTACGGGCGGAATGGGGGGGCGGCATTTGACGAATTTGGGGGGAAAAGTGCAGAATCGGGGAGTCTGGGAGGAGGCATAGGGTCGTTTGGGTCCTACGATCAAACGAGAAGCGCGGGTTCGAGTCTCCACGGCGACACTTTAGATGAAAACGAGGATGGCGCAGGGAGAGGCGAGAGGGGAGGGTACGGGTGGGAGGTGACTGTGGCAGCTCCTGATAGGCCGGGGTTGCTGACGTGTTTCACGAGCGCGCTGGGGAATGCGGGGCTGGAGTGGAACATCAGGGAGGCGCATGTGTTCAGCAGCAGTGATGGCATGGCGCTGCAGGTGTTTGTGGTGGCTCCCGATGGCGACCACCCCTTGCATGATGATGTGAGTCGCTGTGAGACGTCTCAATACGAATATTGTCTCAGGTGACTATGTCCCTTCAGCAGCAGTGACGGCATGGCGCTGCAGGTGTTTGTGGTGGCGCCTGATGGCGACCACCCCTTGCATGATGATGTGAGTCGCACCGCATGGGCATGGGCTGGTTCACTGCATGTGGGAGTCGCATGTGAATGCATGTGGGATGCATGTTGTGACTTCAGGTGAAATACCTGTCCTCCTTTTCTGTTTCCGCCACTCTGCCTCCCTCATTATCCTTCCGCCTTCACCCGTTCCAAGTTGATCCTTTTCTCGGGCCACTCATTTCCCTGTCCGCTCCTCTTCATCCCCAGACGGTGGAGCTACAGGAGGCGGTGCAGGAGCTGCGTGGCAGTGGCGGCGCGCACAGCAGAGCAGGTGCAGCTCAGCAACGTGCGCGCCGTCGTGGACGCTCTCGCATACGAGGACTGGGCCGTGGACTACAGCGATGTGAGTGTGGCGCTTGTGGCTTTAGCGAGGGAGGGGCTACTGTGATGCGAGTAACGTGAGATTCTTACAAGTTGACCCTAGAGGCGCAGAGGCGGAGAGCAGGTGCAGCTGAGCAGCCTGCTGGCCGTGGTGGATGCTCTCGCATATGAGGGCTGGCCCGTGGACTATGGTGATGTGAGTGTGCTCTGTGTGACTATATGGCGTATGACTGTAGTGAGGGTCAGAGGCGTAGAGGCGGAGAGCAGGTGCAGCTGAGCAACGTGCGCGCCGTGGTGGACGCACTCGCATATGAGGACTGGGCCGTGGATTACAGTGATGTGAGTGTGATGTGTGTGCGACTGTAGTGAGGGGGGTTTGGCGCGTGACTGTAGCAAGGGGCTGCTGTGATGTTGACTGGCGTGTGATTCTTACGAGTTGACACTAGAGGCACACACAACGAAGCACATGCAACTGAGCAACCTGAGGGCCGTGGTGTCAATCTCTCTCCCTCTCCCCACCCCCACCCCTCTCCTCTCCCCTCTCAGCTGGCCCTGGGGGAGAAGCTAGGCGGGGGAGCGTCAGGGCGGCTGCTCAGGGGGACGTACCGCGGGCAGGAGGTGGCAGTCAAGGTGCTGCAGCTCGCTCCCCATGGGGGGGGCGCGCAGGGGGAGGGCGCACCTGGGGGCGGTGCTGCTGGGGAGGGTGGGGAGGGGACGGGGGGGATGGGCATGGGCAGGGGCACGGTGTGTGGGACGCTGTGTAGTGCGACGGCCATGGAGCTGCTGCAGTGCTTCAAGCAAGAGGTCGCTATAATGAGGTGTGTTCTTACTCCCTCGTTCAAATTTCCACGGGCTCTTGGTCTCCCACTCTTGCCGTCCTTTCCTCCAATCCAAGTCCTGTACTGAATTGAAGTTGCTATGAATAATTCTCAAAAGTCCTCTTTGTTTGCCCTTCTTCTTGATTCTCTACGTGTTTGCCACGTCCTTACCATGACATGCCACTACACACACTTCTGGCACGTCGTTCTGCCATCCCATCTCTCTGCCTTCCCCATCCTTCTGTAACCCTCATCCCCCCACAACTACCTTGCCCCAATTGTTGCTCTCTCCTGTCTCCCGTCGCTGGTATCTTCCTTACAGGATGGTTCGCCATAAGAATCTCGTGCAGTTTATCGGAGCTTGCTCGCACTGGCCGCGACTCTTCATCGTCACAGAGCTCATGGCAAAGGGAAGGTGAGCACTCGCCGTCCCACCTCTCCCCTCCCTCATCTCCTCTCAATCGCCTCTGTGTCGCTCTCTTCCTGCCGGTGCGCTACAGATTCTCCGCAACATGGTCCAATTAACCTCGCTCATCTTCTCTCCTCGTGCCACCTATCCTTCCTTCCCCGTCACCTCCTCTCTCCGTGCACCAGTGTGAGGGACGTCCTGGATCGTCACAGCGTCACCCTCTCCCTGCCGGCGCGCCTCAGGATCCTCCGGGACGCGGCGCGCGGGCTGGACTTTCTGCACCGGAGGGGCATCGTGCACCGCGACTTGAAAGCGGCGAACCTGCTCATTGACGAGAACGACGTGAGTGGGCATCCGAAGGGCCTGCTCTCCTTGCTGTGGCGCATCTGATCGCACCACTCTGTCTATCCTGGAGGAAGCAGCCCCCCTCCGGGCTGGACTTCCCCCACCAAAGGCGCATCGTGCACCTCCTGGCAGCCGGGAGGCCATTCGAGGCCCATTTCCTCTTACCCATCCTCTCTCTAACCCTTCTTCTGTCTAACTCTTGTTCCGGCTCTGTCCCCAACGCCCCTCAGGTGGTGAAGCTGTGTGACTTCGGTGTGGCGCGCATGCTGCCATCGCGGCAGCAGGGGGGGCAGCTGAGGGGCGGGCCGGAGAAGGTGGGAGGGGCAGACATGACAGCGGAAACAGGGACATATAGGTGGATGGCGCCTGAGGTCATGGAGCACAGGGGGTACGACCAGCGGGCGGACGTGTTCTCCTTCGCCATCACCATGTGGTGAGCCATTGGGATGGGGCCAGCAGGGTACAGGGCACAGAGCACAGAGCACAGGGCATGGCGTGCAGGGCACGGGGCATGAGGCATGAGGCACAGGCAGTGGTGGGCACTGGGCGGACATGACAGCAGAGACGGGGACGTACCGGACCGGTGGATGGCGCCTGAAGTCATGGAGCACAGGGGGTATGACCAGCGCGCGGACGTGTTCTCCTTTGCCATCACCGACGTCTTTTCATTTGCCTTCACCCCCATGACATGATCGCAGGGAGGTGTTGACAGGCGACCTGCCATACTCTGGCCTCACACCCCTGCAGGCTGCTATCGGCGTGCTTCAGAGGTGAGGGGCGCTTGCCTTCCACTGCTGCTACTGCTGCTGCTGCTGCTGCTGCTGCTGCTCATGCAAATGAAGCATCTCAAGAGCACACATTGCACGATCCGCACCCATTGCCACCCTCTGCCCTTCCCACGTCTCCTCTGCTCGTCTTCACTCACCTCACCTTACCTCCTTGCTTCCATTCCGTTCACCTGTCACTCACGCACTCACCCATCCTGCCACAACTCTCCCTGCCATCCCAGGAACCTCCGCCCGCCCATTCCACCCACGCTCCCTCCTCCCATCGCCACCCTCATGGCTCGCTGCTGGGCGTCCGACCCTGCTGATAGAGCCGACTTCTCCGAGGTGAGACTGTTGGATGATTCGTTTCTACTTCACTTCTCTGCACCTCCCCACCTGCATCCACCATGTAATGGGTACATCCACTCATTCACACCCACCTATACCCATCCATACTCATGCACACCCACCAGGTGCTGACAGTGCTGGAAGCGTCCATCAAGGGGGTGTCCCCTGCCGCCCTCTGCCTGGGCCCTGATGCCGCCTCCCCTGCTGCTGCTGGAGGGGGAATCACAGGGGCAGGTTCAGGGGCAGGGGGAGGGGCAGGGGGAGTGGCAAGGGTGCGGGATTTGACAGCGGGGGGAGGGAGCTCTTCCTCTCTGGGCAGTTTGTTTCGGCGGTCCATCTTCGGGGCTGTCAAGAAGCACTGAAGGGAAGGCGGGGCAGTGGAAGGAGGTAAAGCGAGGCAAGGAGGGGAGCGAGATCACATGGATGTAACTAATAACTAGATCAGTCATGTGAATGGGCGTGCAGGGGCTTCACTCACATGTGCATGTGATGAGATCTAGCCACGGCAGCGGTCTGTGAGTTGAAGCAGAAGCAGGGGCGACATGGATTTGTCAAGGTTTTTGTAGCCCTCACAGATTCCTGCTAAAGAAGTTTTCAACATCATGCAGTGCAGCACTGCTGGTAGTTTGATCAAATTCAATGCCAGGTTTCTCAAAGCTGATTTTGTTTTCTTTGTACTCCAGTTGTGATACGGTATATTGAACCAGCTCAACTGCTTCCAGGTTGAGGTGCAAATGAAGCATGCAACTTGCAGATCAGCAGTCAAAAACTGGGTGATGCACTCATGAAGGCAGGGCAAGCGACCGTCCTGCACAAAACGTCTTTCTATGAGCTCTCCAGAATCCTGAGCATGAAATCCAAAAGCTACCTCTCAAACACATCCATGTGCAATGCAAGCCCAATTACAAGACCCATACAAAAATTCCCTAATACCGTATGCCAGTCAGGACTCGAGGATGCTGGGGAAAGCCCTGCAGCAAGAAGCTGAGATTGTCAGTGGGGACACAGGAGCTAACAAAGAGCAGCAACAAACCGTGCTGATCAAGCAGCAGCTTAGCAGCGTTGGGCTCCGCTCAGCAGCAGTGCTTTCGGCATCAGTGCGGTCAGCAGCAGTAGTTGGCAAGAACGCGGTAGTAGACGCGCTCGTCCCTGTGCTTCCCACTCTCCGCCGCTCCCACCAGCGCCAGCTCCTGACGAGGGGCGATCACACATGGGCACAATGGCGCATTGAGACACGCGTTGAGACATGCATGGAGTGATGCATGCACGCACGCATTGACAGAAGCATTGAGACACCAATGCGAGGGAGAAACTGCGTTGAGACAATGTGGCCCACACAAGAAGAGAACAAGCCACACAAGATGGGAAACACACGGGAGAATGGGTTAACACATGTGGCAGAGAAGAATGGTTCACTATGCAATGCATTCCGCACCTTGACCATCTTGTGGCTGAGATTGATCCCCAGGCAGTGCAGCAGACGGCGCAGATCCTCCGACTGAGAGTGAGGCGCAGTGAGCAGGGGACAAAGCAAAAACGTGGGGGACAGGAGGACAGAGAAGAAGGAGAAGTGAAAAGTGAACCAAGAGTGCCTGACAGCTTTGTTGTTACCCCTGATCACCCCTCCACTACCCCACCCACTTCCCATACAACCCCCTCCCGTATCTCCCTCCCTCCCCACAACCTCCCGCACCCCCTTGCACCCACGCCCCCACTCCCGCGTGTCTCCCATGAGGTGCAGACCTTGAGGTAATCGGTGTGGTTGCGGTCAAACTGGCGGAAGGCCTGCAGACACGCAGAAAGTGCAGGCATGGGAGAGGGGGCAGGTGGGCATTGTTTCGCACACACAGGAAACCACTCAAATCAGCACGAGTCATCTGCTACGTGGCAGTACTAACCATAACTCGTTGGGGAGGGACAGAAAAGTAGGTGCCTTTCTAAACCAGACGGGGCGAAGACGCATGAGAAGTGTGAAGTAGAAAGGGGAAGCGTGAGAACTCAGGAGAGAATGGGTTAAGAACGGATCCGAGCTTACAAGGACGAGGTCAGACGAGGTCACTGAAGACTTGGGCCACGAGTCCTCTTCCTTCGCCTCCTTCGCCTCTTCCTTTTTCTCATCCTTCGACTCCTTTGCCTCTTCCTGTCCCTTCTTCTCATCCTTCCCAATCCCCTCCTCGCCTTCCTTCTCTTTCTTCTCCTCCTCTGTAACTCCTGCCCCCTTCTCTGCCGGCCCAATCACTACCGTTCCACCACTCGCCTTCTTCCCCTCTTCCTCCGCTGCACCACTCTCCTCCATCGCCTCATCCTTCCCTTCCTTCTCCACCTGCTCCTCTTTCTTCACCGTCTGCTCAGCACTGGCCTTCTTGTCCGCCCCATCTCCAGCTTTCTTCTCCTTATCCTCCTCCATCTTCTCTTCCTTCTTCACCGCACCACCCTCCTCTCCCTCTTTCTTCTCCTCCTCAACCTCCATCTCAACATCCCCCTCCGCGCCTTCCACCTTCGCCCGTTTAGCTGCTGCCTCATCTCCACTCGCCTTCTCCCCTTTCCCCTCTCCCTCGCCACTCTCCTTTGCCTTCTCCTTGGCAGCTTCAGCCTCCAGCCTGCGCTTGCGGCTCTCCCTCTCCCTCTCCCTCTCCCTCTCCCGCTCCTTCTCCCTTTGCTTCTCCCGCTCCCTCTCCCGCTCCTTCTCCTTGGCCCGCTTAGCAAGCGACAAGGGATACAGGAACTGAGGCAGGGAAACGGAGAAGCATACACAAACGGACAAGCAACAGCAAAGGAAACCAGATAAAAGAATTCTAAAACTCAGGAGTCGAAAGACGTGCTCAATGTCAGACAAGGCAATGAATAAAGCTCCAACGACGCGTGCAGCTTTCCAAACAAGCACACAAGCCCTAAAGCCCACAATAGCGCCTCATGGCAAAAATACTAACTCCATATCCGTACTTCAAACCATCTGAAAGCCACCCTTTTGCACTTGCGTGCTGCTGACCTGCAGGTGCGTGAAGATGGTTCGGCCCGCTCGCTCCTGTATGTACTCGCTGATGCTTTCCGCCACCACTCCCAGCTGCAGTGCACGCAGCATGGGCGGGATTGGAAACAGAGGGGACGGGAGAGGAACGAGGGAATGGGAGAGGAAAAGAGGGGCCAGGAGAGGGAAGAGAGGGGATGGGAGGGGAAAGACGGAACGGGAGAGGGAAGCAAGGGGATGAGAGGAAAGACAGAACGGGAGAGGGAAGCAAGGGGATGGGAGAGGAAAGAGGGAACGGGAGGTGAACAAGGGGATGGGAGAGACAAGGGGGCCGGGAGAGGGAACAAAGGGGACGGGAGAAGAACGAGGGGATGGGATGGTTAGGAGCAGAAGCACTTTCAACCCTTCAAATACTCGCAGATGGCTTCACAAACAGTGACAGCAAAATACACAATGGCATCACACTGTACCGCACTGCACTGTAATGCACCGCACAGCAAACAGGCACACACCTCGAAGGAAGACTCGTCCCTGTCCTCCTCATCATAGTCCAGCAGCCCATCCAGAGAGATGGTGAGCGTCTTCACCTGCCGCCACGCACGGCAAAGAGGGAGGGAGGAAGGGGTGGAAGATGATGTTACAGTCGCAAGAATGATCATCATAGCCCAGCATCCCATCCAGAGACGTGGTGAGAGTCTTCACCTGCCGCCATGCAAAGGCACACAGAGGGGGGTGTGGGATGGAGGGGTTTGAAGATGTAAGAGCCGATATGGTCCGCAAAACAGGAAGCACGAGCAACAACTGTGGGATGGAACTGGACGGAGGGGGGTGGGTGTGGAGAGGGGGTGATGATGGTGGAAGCGTGACCAAAAAGGGTGACCGGAGGCAATTCAACGAGAGGAACAAGGAGTATGGGGTTGCTGAGGACTGGGCTGATGAGGTTTGGGGGCACACCTTGACGGTCTTAGTGCGTGAGGAAACCAGGACGAAACCAGGATTCGTGATCTCCTTCGCCTTTGCCTTTTCCTTCTCCTCCTTCTCTTTCTTCTCCTTCTCCTCTTTCTCCTTCTTTTCCTTCTCCTCTTTCTCTTTCTTCTCCTTCTCCTCTTTTTCCTTGTCCTTCTCCTCGCCTTCCTTCCCTGCTCCCTCCTTCGCCTCACTGCCCTCTGCCTTCTCTCCATCACCTGAGCCCTCTGCTCCATCCTTGCCCTCTTTGCCCTCCTTCGTCGCATCCGTTGCTGCTCCCTTGACTGCCGCTGCAGAGCCTTCTTCCTTAGCCTTCTCCTCCTCCTTCTCCTTCTCCTTCTCCTTTTCCTTCTCCTCCTCCTTCTCCTGCTTGTCCTTATCACTGGTCTCCTCCTTCTCATCTTTCTCCTTCTCCTTCCCAGTTTCCTCCTTTTCCTTCTCCTTTTCCTTCTCCTTTTCCTTCTCCTTTTCCTTCTCCTTCTCCTTCTCCTTCTCACGCTCCTTCCGTTCCTTGTCCCTCCTCTCCTTCTCCTTCCGCTCCTTCTCTTCAATCGCCTTCCTCTTCCCCTCCAGCTCTTTCACAGACTTCTTCCAATCCTCCAGGCTTGGAAGGCACTCCGACAGGTTCGGCAAGAGGTAGACCACAGTCTCAAGGTTGGTCGGCTTGCCGTGGCTATCAGATCGCATGTAAACCACCTGGCAGTCAGATAGGAAGTAGAAGAAAAAAAGGGAACGGAGAAAAAAAAGGTAAGGGACGGATAAGGCGCAAGGGCAACAAGGCAGGAATGTGCAGACCGATGGGCGAGGGGCAAGAAGAATGAAGGTAAACATGAATCAATCAATGGAAGCAGCTCGTGACAGAACCACATGAACAAGACAGAATGCCAGCCGTAGATGCAGGAATTGGCATGGGCATCCAGGAGGAGCAAGCAAGAGCAAGCACGCACGTCGATAAGCCGCGCCCAGTCCTTGCATGCGCTCAGATCCACACGCACCGTTGCCTTCACAAACCTGCCACAGGAGCAGTTTTGAAGGATCAGGTGAGAACTCTGCATACGAGAAAGGAGAGCTTTCAGTGCTGCATACGACAAGCACGGGAGCGTCGAGGCAACTTGCAATAGAAGTTTCGCGGATGGCGGCATGTGGAATACGCTCGGACCTGGCAGGCTCACATGCAACCCTAAGCTGCTGCATCAAACAGCCCCTGCCCCCGCAGACCAATCACTGCATTGCCCTCACACCTGATCGCAGCTCGCACGAGCCCTGAGTCCTCCTTGCTCGGATCCCCACCGTCCGTTTCCGCTTCCCAGCGCCCACCAATGGCTGAGATGGGGTCGCGGTCGCGGCGCATGCAGACGAATCGCAGCGCGTGGTTGGTGTGCGGGGGGCGCTCGTGGGGCGACGGGGGCTTGTCTGACGTGATCTGGGCCAGGGCTGGCGCGTCCAGGCCGCTCATCAGCAGCACCTGATGGGACGACGGGGAAACGGGGCATGACTTAGAACGACGCGGCCCATGCAGGACGAGGGGTTGATGGAGAGCGGAGGAACCGAGAGGGGGTTTAAAGGGAAGGAGGGGCGGAGATTGGGAGGTGTGACGCTTTGCACTCCTCTTGCTGCTCGCGCATGCAGATGTTGAAGCGGAGAGCCAGACACACACAGATACACACTGCCCACACCCCACACACGCACGCACACACTGGATACATGGGGATCGGAGAGAAGGCGCGCTCTCACCTTGACAGTCCACAGCATGGGCAGCTCGAGCCCAAAGGGAGCAGCAGCAGAGTGGGCAGGCGATGTGGCAAAGCCACAGCTCTCATTCGCCGTATCCATAGACGTGTCTTGTGGAGCCGACTCCCCAGCAGTGGCTGTTGCAGGAGTGCCGTCCTCTGCCATGCCCTGAACCTCACCCTTCTCTTCTGTGACCTGTGCTCCCTCCTCTGGCTCGGTCTTCACTGCAGGGTCTCCCTTGCTCGGAGTGGTGGCAGTGCCGACGGTTGCTCCAGCAGCAGGAGACGTTGATGCCGCAGCAGCGGTTGCAGAGTCGTCAGATTCTACCTCTACTGAGTCGTGCTCGAAGCTGATCCGGCCGTCCGTCCATCCATCCATGCATGATCCATCCATCCATGGGAAGTGGGCAGTGGGCAATGGGCAGCGCACAAACGCCACCACGCATAATGCACAGAATGCCATCCGGATTAGAATAAGAGTTGGCGGCTGAGCTTAGCTGTTCTGATTACAGGAGAAACGAGCAGAGGATGAGGACGAGGACGCGCAACACGAAGCTCTCCAAGTCACAGCAGCAGCAGACGCAGCAGAAGGAGGAGCAGCAGCAGAATTCGCAGGGGTAAAGCAGAGCCAGGAGCTGGACTGAACCAACAGCCACCAACAACCCCGAAGAGCAATGTGCTCGGCGCTAGCATGCTGAAGCTGGCTGCCTTGAGTCACTGAGAGAAGCATGCCAGCAGCGTCTCCCACTCCCCGCTCTAGCATTGTATGGACTGGCAGGTGGCGAGAGGGCAACCGAACGAGCATGAAAGAAAAGCGCACAGCAGCAGCAATCTGGATAGGGTTGGGAGAAGCATACCTGACAGGAGTGAAGAGTGGCAGTGGCGTGGAGTGAGTAGGCCACACTGCTCGTGCCTGCACGTGGGAAATAATAAAAGAAGACAGGGAGGTAGAAGGGAAGAATTTCTAAAAGAGATCCGCTACACGCGTGTCAAAAGGTTGCAGTGCAACACCCAATCACTCAACTTGCACCAATCAAGAGCACCATCAGAAGCAGGCGAATCGACTTGTGCATTCTCCAAACGTCAGATACACGTCAGGAGCGCATGCAACAGTCAGTCAAGTAAACACACCTTGCAGAAGTCAGCTGGCACGTAGAGGCGCGGGTAGCGCTTGCAGATGCTCAGGTACCCCCTCTCCACCTCCGCGAATGGGAATGGCTCAATCTGGGAAACCATTAGGTTGGGAAGAGGGCCGAGGAACAGAGGGAAAAGGAATGGCTGTTAAGGCAAAAATAAAAGAACGGGCGAGGCAGAGAGAGAAACGGGAAGGTGGCTTGACGAGAAATAACGACGACTCAAAGCCGCCACCCTTTCTATCTGACGCTGGGCAAAAAGAGATGATTTGCAGAGAGGGTACATGACTTGCAGCGAATCTGAGGCGCAAAACAGTGTGGGAACGAAAGAGACTGACCTTGCACGAGTAGGGGCGGTAGTAGTCATGGGGCGGGGACCTGCAGAGAGTCAGGGAGGAGCACAACATAACACCAGCGCGTCATGGATTTCCGTGCAAAACCGAGCCCAGCACGGCCAGATCGTTGAAGCAGACGGTATACAGGCAAACAGATTGCTGCGACAAGCATCAGCAGCTCGTCATGCAGCTAACCACATCGAACATTTGAAAACAATCACATGCGCAATCACATCCAACCATGAAATGATACACGGAACCTGTACGCCAGCCGAGCATGCACCTGTACAAGCGTCATTAGGGTACCACCTTACCCCTATGGACCTGCGCACCTGTGCCTGTGATAGTCGCGCTCGTCCTTCCTAGCCGCTCCGGCAGCAGCCGCCTCCCTGCCACCGCCTGCCTTCCTCCTCTCCTCCCTCTCCTTCTCCCTCTCCTTCTCCTTGTCCTTGTCCCCGTGATCTCGCTCCTTCCTATCCTTCTCACGAGCCCTCTCCCTCTCCTCCCTCTCCCTGATTCTCTCCCTATCCCGAGCCCGCTCACGCTCTCTCTCCCTCTCCCTCTCACGCTCACGCTCCCTCGCCTTTTCCCTCTCGCGCTCCCTCTCCTTCTCCCTCTCCCTATCCCGCTCCCTATCCTTAGGCCCATCCCTCTCCCGCTCCCGCTCCGGAACAGCCGCCCTGCCCCTCCCAAAAGCCCCTCGCTCCCTCTCCGCACCTTTCCGCCAATCCCCCTCTCCGCCTCTCCCCCTTTCATCTCGAGCCCCCGGCCATGCCTTGCTGGTCTGGAATCCGGAGTCCGCAGCGGGGCCTGAGGTTCGGCCGGCAGGGGCAGATGCTTTGGGTGCAGAGTAGTCGCGGCCTGAAGCACCACGACAACAGGCAGATCCAAATGTCAGTATGCATAACTGACAGTCGAAACGAAAACGCGGCAGGACGAGGGAGGGTAGGCGAGAAAGCGAACGCAAAGTGGGCGGGCGGGCGGGATGGAGGAGGGGGGATGGGGGTGAAGGAGGGGGGGGGGAGAGGAGAGCGGGGGGGTTGAAGGGAGGACGAAACCGTGGGGGGGGGGCACAGAAAGCATACCGTGGAAGCCCTGAGGCGTGGGATGCGGCTGTGAAAACCCCTGCGCCGGCACGTGCTGCTGCTGCTGCTGCTGTTGCTGCTGCTGCTGCATCTGCTGCTGCATCGCCACGGCCATCTGCTGCTGGAACGGAACGCTCCCCGCACCCATGCCCGACACGCCTCCCCCCATGGCAGCGTACCCGGGACCCGCGGCAGTTAGCATGACGGGCGTGGCACCGCCGGCGGCAGCAGCGGCGTCGTACTGCACGCCTGTGGTGTATACGATCTGCCGCTGCCCTCCTCCCACTGACGCGGCCGTGGGCGCCGTGACCAGCAGCTGCTGCCCGTAGCTGTCCGTCGCCGTGTAGACGCTGGGGGAGGGGAGGAAGAAGCGTCGAGCAGGGGGAGAGGCGAGGAGCAGGCACAAGAAACAACGGTGTGATGGCAGTAACTGAAAGAAAAAACTCTTTGCGACGCCACATTTAAAAAGAGTTGCAGAATTGGAGACAAAAAAGATCGCAAATGACTGACCGCTCAGCATGCGAAAAAACGCTTACCGCTGCTGAGCTGCAGCTGCCTGCTGCTGCGTCGCCATGGCCTGCTGCATGGACGCTGCTGCTGCTGCCAGTCCGATGGCCGACGCTCCCCCCGCGCCCTGCTGCTGCTGGTACTGCTCACATCAACACAAGCAGCAAAGAAGCACAGCGAAATGTTTCCCATTAGAGCAGATTTGATGACAGCAATCCTCTTCAATGGCGTTGTAAGCGCATGCTTTACACAATGTGGAGCTATATGGCGTCATAATAGCAAGCCACAGAAGTGAAGCAAAGCAGACGCGCGAAAGGAGCACGATGCGAGCACAGATTCCTAACGTTGCTGAATCACACTGATAAGCTCCAGTCTTCTTACCGTTGATGACGCGTCCTGGTAGTAGGCTCCCGTCTTGGGGTCGAAGCTGAACGTCCCTCCAGCAGCGGCAGGAGTAGCAGCAGTCGTCCCCACGCCATACCCACCGTACGGGGAAGAACCGCCGGCGGTTCCCGCACCGCTGGAAATATCGAGGCCGTAGGCTGCAGCGACTGCCTGCGCGCCGGCGGAATACTTGGACGTTCCGTCAACGGTGGTGGCGAACGAGGAGAGAGAGGAATAGGGGTTGGCCTGTTACAGCGCGGGAAGGAATCAGATAAGGGTGAAGGGGGAAGGAAGTGAGGGGGAGGAGGACGAGGGATCATCGAAGGCAGTACAAGAAGTGGCTGCGAGGAAGGGGGTGACGACAGGCGGACGGCGAGAGGCGACGGACGGATGACGAGAAGAGTCAGACGGAAGACTTAAAACTGATAAACGCGTGTCGAACCAACAAAAAACGCTTACATTCTAAACAGAATAGTTGGGAAAACTGCTACAAAATCGGGAGAAATGTAACCGCTACATAGACGAATCTTCTCCGTAATACATACCGACGCAGCCGAAGCACCCTGGGTGTAAGAAACCTGCTGCTGCTGTCCCGCCTGCTGCGCTTGCTGCTGCTGCTGCCCCTGGGTGCCATAACCAGCAAGCGACTGGTACGTGTAGTACTGGCCGGTCCCTCCTGCTGCCGCAGGCGTAGTGGATGCCACCTGCTGTTGCTGCTGCTGCTCAATGAAATAGCAGACAAAAATCCACCAGGAAACCAAGGAAAGTTGGAATATTACAGGTTCATCATCCTTCTGAGGCCGAGAACGAGCTCGCTGTCAATTTCAGTGGAATCAGTAATCTGGAACAAAGAGAGGATGCCATAGTGAAGGAAATGATGGGAACAAGTACAGCCAGGGACTTACTTGTGTCAGTTGTTGCAAGGAATAACCCTGCTGCAAAATCGCGAAAAAAAACAAAGAAGGCAACAGAGCCTTATCAGAGTTAGGACATGCGTAAGCTAGGTAAGAAACCTTCACGGTGAGCATAAATATACCATATGTCTACGAAAATCATCAACTATTAGAAACAGACGTCTAGAAACAAAGGTTATGTGCGCATCGGTATCGATCTACAACTCAAGCTCCAGATCCACGACTCGCACGACTGAACCCTAAATAAGAAACCGAGAATAACTGCGAAATCCACAAGAAACGTGTTAGATTCGAATATTATGAGCACCTGGGAGTACTGCGAGGCCCCTCCGCCAGCCACGGAACTCCTCCAAGAATCCATGGCGAAGCGAGCCCTACTATTGCGCGCTACAAAACGCAAGCGCCTATGTGGAGACGTGAACAACGGTCAGCGATTCTACGTTAGGGGATGGTGGAATGCGAGACACAACCAAGGCTCAGAAGAAACCTTGACCTGGTCTGGTCTGGGGATTGGTTTGGACGGAACCCTTCTGCCCTTTTGTTCTACTCCTTCCCTAATTGGATTGACGACGAGAGTGTAACAGCAAAATATTATATACATTATACAATTACATATGTTATTATGCCTCAGGCCAACATTGGACAAGAATGGAGAATTGTAAGCAGATCATATGAAAGACCTGCTACGACAGACATGAGCCAAACCCAATTACAGACGTAAAGAACATAACCTAAGCCCGCATGTCCACTACAGGACCCACCCACACCTTGAGCGCCCCATTCAAGTTCTGCATTCCAATTTCCAACCCCCAATCAGCCCTTCAAAACTACCTGCCATCTGAGTCACCGCCTGTAGGAGAATTACTCGGCCTCTAGGATCTGCATTGTTGACAGCCACCTTGGGATGAGTTGAGTAATCCCCCTTGTTGCTCTATTTATTGGCAACAGTCCCCCCCCCCCCCCCGTGCAAAAACTCGCACCTTGAATCGTGAAGCACGTTCACTATGCATCACTTTGTAAACCCGATTCTCCTCCCTGTAACTTCATTGCCCTGCATCTTGGTGCTGCTCCTTGCGAACCTCTATCGCATGCAGACGTCCTAAACACCGTTCTTTCTTTGCTTCAAGCCTAGAGATTTTACTGTCAACACGTGAGATCTTCTCTCTCAGCTCATCCTCCTCAGACCGTAGGTTGAGAGGCTGGGGAGGTGGTGTTTGCGGTCTAGTCCGTCTGATTCCCTGAGACCCACCAACAAAGCAGGGAGAGAGGTACAGAGTGAAGGAAGAACCAAAGACAATAATACCTGCCGGGTCAAACTACAAGTGAATCTCGAGACATTGATATCTGCCAAAAATCTGCAAGATTTCACAATTCACGCTCTAATGGTCGCCCAAGTTTCACTCACAGTAAGTAAGAGAATGACTCGCTTACCGCTGTTCCAACGAAAAAATGACAGATGGTAACGGAAACCCCAACTTACCGATGCATAAGGATCCATGAAAATGTGGCAGCGGATGCTGCCTGATGCTGCTGTTATTGCTGCTTTTGATGCTGCTGAGTACAATCTCAAGACAGAAATCAAACGAGAAAGGCCGGAAACAGACAGCGAGAATCACTTAACATTCTGACGGCTACAGCAGCTCGACATAAACGGGAATGCAGAGGTTCATGTCAAATGAGTAACGTCATCAACTTACTCGTAGCTAAATCCTTACATGTGTCAGCTGCTGAGAACCATCACCCTGCTGCAAACCCACCGAAACTAAAGAAGCTATACGAAATAGAAGGGTACGCGAGTCAAGCAAGCCTGTCCACTAGAAAGTACGGAAAGCAGCAATTACCTAAACTAGACGGCTCGGGTCATAGCATTTACTCAACGGTTTCAACAGGAAGTCGAGTGCTTTTGGCACCCACCTACCAGTTGTGAGTTGGCGAGCAAGTGCGGTCTGTACGGAACATCTCATGGCGAGTACAGGTGAGGCCCGTTACAGCACCCCCCGGTAGCCTTGTGAAGGGGGTATGTAAGCTAAACCTGCATTTCGCGTGAGGTTCGTTCGTTTCGTCAGGCGTCTAGCGTGTTTCAAAGCTGCACATGGTAACCACCACTTTGTCAGACTCGCAACAGTAATGGTTCGCAGCTCTTGTCCCTCTTGTGTGTTCTGGGTTACTAAGCGGAGCCAACAGTAATGAAACAAGCATCTTCAACAATTGTTCCCCCTAGTACAAAACATGCAAAACACAACCATCATCCAATCAACATCCCCCACCTGGCCCCTCATCATCAGTCAACACACGAAGCGAGACACGCACAAATGGGCACAAAGTGTGAACACTTGTGCCGAGCAAAATGCCTTCGACACCTTGCTGAAACTGCTCCACCACCCCTCACAGACGCATCCACTCAGCCGCGTCCACATAGCCGTCCATCACGGCGCCCACACCGGCGTCAAGCAGCTGCTGACGGCGGGACGGCTGGGTCATCCAGCCAGGCAGCACACGGCCGCGCGGGCGAGGGGTCTCGGGCGTGGGAGTTGCGCCGGGGGTGGGGACGGGTTGAGGGGCCACGTTGAGGTTGAATGACGGGCTCGCCCGCTCCATCCGCGCGATAATGACGGGGTTGCGGATATCAAAGAGATGGCACAGATCGCGTGGCGTGATGCGGGTGGCCCGAGCATATCCGATGAGCATCTCGCATGCCGCCCGGGCTGTGCGCCGCGCTTCGCAGCCCACGGGGTCGGCGTCGTCGTAGACGGCCTGCATGGTCGTTGGCGCCTCCCAAAGCTCCATCACCATGGCCGCCTCCGGCTCCGTCGCAGCGCCATCGGCGCACGTCGGCTCGCCGTCGTCGATGGCGACTTATGCGGCGGCCGTCATCGCACCGGTCCCGAGGCCGAGCCCGCTAATGAGCGTCCCGACATCGTCGATGTCGTCGTCGATCTCGATGTCGGGATAGGCGGGAGGGACCGGCTCGTCGTCGTGGACGTGTGGCAGCTCCAGTGACCACGAGAGCGGAAGACACCCCGTGCGCCACCAGCACCGTTGGATGGTGCGCACACCGACGGATGTCCACGCGTCCGACAACCATCCCACTACGTCACGCAGGTTCGGGCGGTACCGCGCGACGGCGCTTGTCGCGCCGTCGGCGTTCCACAAAGCCGAAAAGGCCCGCAACCAGTGCTGGCGGTAGCGGGCCTTGGCGGTGGCGATGATGCCCTGGTCGAGCGGCTGTGTGAATGAGGTGGTGTTCGGCGGCAGGAAGACGAGCCGCACGTTGCTCATGCAGGTCGTCCTCATGCCGCAGACGACCTCGCTCCATGCGTGCTCACTCCTGAGCATGTGGCTGCTAGCGTTGTCGAGCAGCACCACGACCTTGCGACCTTCCGCGTACATCGCAGAATTCAGCTGCGATATGAAATGAGTGAATAACTGGGGGCGGGGAAGGGAGGTGAAGGCGTCGCGCAGAGGGAACCCGGTTAGCACATGCATATACCCGACATCTTCGCCGCGACATTTACGCTCGAGAAGCAGGAAAAAACGCAAGCAACCCATACTTATTACCAACTTACCGGCGACGTCATCCAGCCTTTCGCGTTATGCTGCCAGTAGCAGAGGGCTTCGGGGTCATAGTCCGGGCGGAAGTCGTGGGGCCGCTTCGCCTTACTGATCACGAGCGGGCGGAACATGTGGCTTCCGTCAGCATTCACGAGGAATGCGACGGTCAGGCGGTCCTTCGAAACTTTGCGGCCTGGTATGCGGCCGTTGCTGTACGTGCGCCGAGGGAGCACGGAGAGCCACAGCGCGGTCTCGTCCAGGTTGAAGGTGTCACGCGGGGTGACGCCGAGATGATTGAGGAGTTGCGGGAGCTTCTCCCGTGCGTCGCGAACGGCGGCCATGTCCGCGCTAGCCGCCTCGCCTTGTGCTGCACGTCACCTCACCCCCTGGCACCGCAAAGCACGGCGCACCCAGCCGATGGAGCAGCGGAATGTGGGCGGAATGCCCATGTTCCGCGCCATGGTCGCGACATGGTCGCGGATGGTCTGCAGCGTAAGCGGCACGCCGGCGGGCCCGGCGCTCGCAATCCACCGCGCCATGGCCTGTTCCAGCTCAGGCCATGCGCCACCTCGACGGCGCACTTGGTTGTCGCCGGTTGCCGTGACAGCCCATCGCTCGGCGCTCTTCAAAATGCGCCCGACAGTGGAGCGATCCGGGCGCAAGCCGTACGTTGAGTAACACCACCTCGCCAGGTCAACATGACGCAGGCGGGGGTTTCCGACGTGGTGCGCGCAAATAGCGCGCTTGACATGGAGTGGGAGCTGTTCCCGCCGATTAAAACGGGCCATTTCGAGAAGCTGGGGTGTGTGAGAATGCTGAGTTAGTGAATTCCATGTTCAGAATTCAACTGGAGACGGCGGGCGTCGAGGGGCAGTGCTGGGGCCTGTTCTTTGTGGCCTGTACCCTACGTGTGGCAGGTGCTTGTTCCAAGCACCTGGCTTGCATTTTTGAATGTGTGCTTTGGTTACCACACATTCAATTGACTGACGTGGGGTAGGCGAACAACGCCTGGTTGAAAAATGCGCTTGACCCCACAGGTGCAGAGTACACGTGGCACCGTGAATCTCCCCACATGTCTGTTACATGCACGATGAACCGTGCTTATGTGGCGGGCCTTTTGGGCGAATGCGTTCACGAAACCTCGGCCGTTTCGTCCACTCGTTTCGCCTGCCTGACTTCTGGCCTAGAAACAAGGCAAACCTTGGTCGGCCTGCCTTGTTCTGGACTGCACGTGCCTTGGTGGCCGAGGCGCGTGTACTGTATCCAGCCATCCAGGGGCTTGTACTGTGGGAGCAGCAAGCAGGGGTTTCGAGCTCGGGGGCAGCGTTTCCATCCGGTGCATGGCAATTTCGCGTGCACTGGTCGGGCATCATGTGTATTTTGTCCGAACCGAACCAAATGTTTAAGGTTATGTTAAAACCAGGGTGCACATTCAATTGGATTTCTGTCAAAGGTTAACCTTTGACCTCGGGGTTACTCAGTGATTTAGGAATATCTGGGGGGAGTGTTCGCTTCAGCAGGTGAACATTTGAACCCTCGAGATTTGGCAAATGTATACCGAAGTCATCGAATGTGCTTCCGCCAATTCGTTTCCCCCCTCCCCATACCTATTCCGCTCCCACCGAAATTGTTTCCCCTTCCCCCACAATATCGTCTCACCCCCTTTCCCCTTTCCGCCAACCCAGTTGCCCTCCCCTTGATCCCCAATTTCTAGATCCAAGTGTTATCAATTTCTCCCCTGCCAAGCCTCATCTCTCACGGACGAAAAGCCCCATGCTCGCCCATTCTCAACTATTTATTCGCTACTCGTCAACCAATCAGCAGTTCCCGCAAACATGCCGCCCAAAATTTAGCCTGGAGTCGCGTTGAATGTGTACCCTGGTTTTAAGCGTTGACTCAGGCGCACGGACTGTAGCGAATATAATCATTGAAATATCAGTTGTACTTATACAGAGCCCTAGCATTGAGCATTACGTTAAGCACTTCTTGATCTCTCGTTTACTATCACATGGCATGGCATACATCATTCTAAGTGTCTACCACTGAGCTAACCTCTCCTGCTGATCTCTTATGAGTGCTCTTAATGGTATACATTTCCATAACTCGAGTCTTGTTCTGTGCCCACCACGTTTCCGCTTGCCGTTCAATAAAGCGCTTCCGGCTGCATCAACAGACACCCACGCCACAGTTAAACAAAAAGAGACACAATAACACATAAGCAAAAACTTTCCCCACCAATCGCTAATTATATCTATTCACGCACCTGAATCTGACACGTCTCAACTCTGTTCCACCGCCAGGCAGCTTAGAGAGCGTGATGTACACCCCCTGCTCCGGCTGCTCCACCCACTCGTTCTCGTGCAGCTTGCGCGTCGACTTCCTGCTTCCTCCCTTGCCCTCCCCGCGTCTACTCGAACTTGTCGACCCAGCTTCACTCTGTGACCCATCCCTGTCATCACCACCCCCAGAGTCCGCCCCTCTACCCTCCTCCTCACACTCAGCAATGCCATCCAAACCATGCATCCGAACTGTCTCCTCTGTCAACATGCCTGGATGCTCCTCACTTGTACAAGCCCCTGTAGCAGCATCAGCAGAGCTTGAAGCTCCACCAGCACCAGCCATGCCAGTCTTGTCCAAGCCATTGATCAACAGTCTCCCATGCAGTTCCTGCTCGGTGTGTGGGTTTGCAGACAGCAAGCCATCTGCTTGACTCCCATATCTCCCTCCCTCCTCCTCATCAATCCCTTGCTCACCCTGCCCCATGTTCTCTTGCAAAGCTGCATACCTAAAACTTGGTTCCACGTTTTCGTTTTCCCATCCTTGACAACCAAAGTTCAGCTCTTGCCTGGTCTCGTCAGTAGAACCTGCTTCCCTCACACCACTGCCACCACCACCGTCAACTGACTCATCACCCTCACCCAACGCAGCCTTCCCTTCCCCACCAACGTCCCTCTCCCCTGCCATTCCTCCCAATCTACCAATCAGATTCTCACTCGGCCGCCCATTCCGTTCCTGAACCAAACTCTCTCTCCCGCCGCCCAGACTCCCTCTCATCCCACCCACACTGCTTCTGCTGCTGAGCCCAGGCACAGCAGGCAGGCTCCTCCTGCTGCTCGGGCCAGGAACATGAGGAGGCACAGCTGCACTGGGAGGCAGAGTTCCCACAGAGACACCTACAGGAACGCGCTCAGGAGTGGTCTCCCGCTGCCGCAGATGCGTCCACGACTCATGCAGCCGCACCAGCGACGGCACCATGCGACTCTTGCTCTCCTGCTGCTGCTGCTCGCTGCTCTCGCCCCGTGGCGCCTCAAACACAGGCAGTGTCCGCCGCTCCTGCCTCTCACCCATCGCCCCTCCACCCCTGCTGCCAAGATAACCCCCCTGGGAATTTCTCAGGCTGAGACCATCCAGCTGAGCGCCAGAGCTGCCCCTCTCCGCACTTGCTTCTGTCCACCGTGCTGGAGCCTCGAAGGGTGAGCTTCCCCTGACTGACCCCCCCACTCCCACGCTCTCACGTGCGCTAACATCCACACTGGAGCCTCCCCTTGCCACGCCCGCCCCTGCCACACCAGCAAACGAGCCTGCCTCTCTCCCTCCCACTGCTCTTGCTGCGGCTGCTCCCTCTGTCGCTCTTCCCCCACCAATCCACTTGGAACGAGGTGATATCTTATCAGACGAGGCCCCTGTAGGGGTCCAAGGCACTCCTCCCTCACGCTGCGCCTCCACCCCGCACCCCTCACGCACCTCACTCCCACCTGCGTTCCCCTGCCACGGGTGCTGCTGCTGGTGGCTGGGTACAGCAAGGACCAGCGCAGGAAATCCCTTGCCACTTGCCTCCCCTCTGTTATAGCTACCCAAAGAGGAGGACACGTGGATGCCTCTGGTTGGACGCGAGTTGGCAGTGAGACTTGCTGGTCCTGCTGCCTGGGAAGCAGCACTTGCTTCTGCTGCTCCTACACCTGATGCTGCCGCTGCTCCTGCTGCTGTACCTCCACCCCTTACCCTACACCCCTCAACACTCCCCACAGAAGCACCAGGAGCAGCAGTTGCAAGAGCAGGAGCAGCAGCAAGCGCGGCACCACCGCTCCCTGAAACAGGCAGCGGTGGCAGCTCAACAAGGGACGGGGGCAGCACGGACGACGACAGGAGCAGAGGACCAGTGTAGAGCACTGAGTCATCAACGGCTCGGATCGCCAGACTGGCTTGCTTGACTGGGATGGACGGCGCCTGCTGCAGCAGCTCCTGCATCTGAGCGCACAACACTTGGATGATGTCGCGTGCACCTGCTACCCTCGCTCCTGCTTCACTGGCCGCTGTCACTGCTGCCTCGACTTGCCTCTGGGCCAGCTCCAGTGTCGCCCTGCGCTCTTGCTCCAGCAGCTGGCAGTGCTGCCGCAGCACCTCCACCTGCAAAGGATGGACACGGGTTTGGTACATGTGAGTGTAAAAAGGTCCCATTCGCTTCACTGGCTGCAGTGACTGCTGCCTCCACCTGCCCTTGAGCCATCTCCAGGGTGGCCCTGCGCTCTAGCTCCAGCAGCTGGCAGTGCTGCCGCAGCACCTCCACCTGCAGGGGTTCAGACACGGGCATGCAAGACAAGAAGCGCAAGTGTGCTTGGATTCGCTCCACTCACTGCCTCAATGCTTCTCTGCACTCATGCTCTGGTAGATGCCAGTTTCTGGCGGAGCACCTCACCAAAAAACCTGCCGTGCCATGTTCTGTGCAACATGGAGGCAGGCAAATGAAGAGCGTTGCGTGCCATGCACAGCGCACATGACTAGCGCACGCGCAGCAGCCCTCACTCACCTCATCCTGCAGGCGGTATGCCTCCCTCTCTGCGTTCTGCTTGGCATGCCGCATGCCCGCCATGGCTGTGTCCCTCTCCGCCTCTGATGCTGCCCACACACAAGACAAACCCACGAACAATGGAGACGATCGGAGAGGCGAATAGTTGAGAGAAGGAGGAACAGCATTGAAGGCGCAAAGCCTATGGTAGAAACAGGCACTGGGCCACTCGGAAATGGAATCCCGCCCAGAATGGAGGTGGAAGTCTACCACACAAGATGGCACTTACTTTCTTCCAATGCTTTTGTCATGGCCGACCATCCTCCTCCTTCTCCTCCCTCCACCCCACCCCCTCCTGCTCCTGCAACTTCCACTCCGCCCACCCTCCCAACCGACGATCCTCCTCTCGTCCCTCCCCCCCCAGGCAGCGCCACAACGCCTCCCAGGCCCCCCACAGCCCCCATCCCCCCCACTCCTCCAATGCCCCCTGGTCCCACCTGCCCTGCCGCCGCAGCTGCTGCTGCGATGGAAGCAGGGGTGGGCCCAGGCATACGCCCTGCCATAGCAGCAGCCATGGCTGCAGCGGCTGCCGAAGCTATCTGAGCCGCGGTCGGGCTGGAGGCTCGGCGAAGCGGGCTCGTGCCCATCGACCGCCGGAGCATTGGGCTGGTTGACCTCTTCCCCGGGGCTTGGACCGAGGTTCGGAGCGACCGGCTGGTTCGGAGATGGGAGTCGTCAGGTTTGGCGGGAGGTGAAGCGCTGGTGCGGAGGGGAGGAGAGGCGGAGTGGGCATGGGTAGCAGCAGGGAGAGCGGGGAGGGAGGCAGAAACAGAACTGTTGGGCGGGGGGAGGGCACGGGAGTGGGGGGCATGGGAGGGTCCCTGGGTTCCCTGTGAGAGACCTTGTGAGAGACCTTGTGGGCGTGGCTGCTGGGACAGGTAAGAGGCGAAGGAGGTGGGGACGGCTATGGAGCTCCAGAGTGCTGGAAGGGCTTCGGCGCGAGTGCGGCGGAAGTTAGGAAGGGCATCTGTAGAGGCTGAGACAGATGGTGCATGGGATGCCAGACCCCCTGATACACCCCCTGCTGCTGCTGCTGATGATGTTGATGTTAATGTTGATGATATTGATGATGGTGCTGCTCCGGAGGATAATGCAACTGCCACGTCAGCCAGTGACGGGTCCAGCAGCTTGTCCACATCATTGGACGTGCGCGATCTCTGCCACATGGACTTGCTCCGAGACCGCCAGCTCATCGCAAGGCTAACCGGCGCAATGCTGCCTGCACCTGCTCCTGTACCCATCCCCGCACCTCCTGCCAAACCTCCTCCTGCACTCATCCCACCAACACCACCAGTTTGACCTGCACCTGCTACCCCTCCCCCCGCACCTGCGCCTGCCCCTGCTGCAACCGCCCCTGCCCCTCCTCCTCCCATCCCACCCACACCACCCACAGACCCGTGAACCAAACCACTACCAGCTGCTGCCGCAGCCCCCACAGCACCCCCCACAGCAGCCCCAGCAGCAGCGGCAGCAGCAGCTTTGACCATCTTGGCATGGCAGGAGTCGCATACTCGGTAGGGGCGGGAGGAGGATGGGGCCATGGCTGCTCCGAGCAGCTTGCGGCTGCTACAGGCGTGGCACACGGGCTGGCCGCAGTTGTAGCAGCTGTGGCGGGGGCGCGCGAAGGTGAAGGGCTGGCGGCACTGGTTGCACTGGTAGTTGTCGGCGCCTGAGAAGGGCTTGTGCTGACACACCACGGCTGTGCTGGCCGCCCCACAGGAGACCTGGTCATGGGGAGTGTCGGATAGAGAGCAGGGCCGAGGGCGAAAGCACATAATGAGGCCTTAACGAAGGAGACGGGAGAGAGAGAGATAGACCATGGAAGAGGGAGAGAGAGAGGGACCATGGAAGAGGGAGGGAAAGAGGGACCATGGAAGAGGGAGAGGGAGGGAGAGGGAGGGAGAGAAAGGCGGCACAACTTACCAGCAGAACGCGTCTGTCTTTGAGGGCAGTGACAGCGGTGGGCACGTCCCTATCCTTCACGTCCCCGTGGCCCAGACGCCCGTTGGCGCCCCTGCCCCACGTGAACAGATGCGCTGTGGTGGTGAGTGCTGCCACGTGGTGCGCCCCACACGCCACCTGCTCCACCTGCTTCTGCAGCAATGGGCCGGCCACTCTAGCTGCAAGGGAGAATGGGGGGAAAAGGAGTTGGGGTTTGAGTTGACTCGGAGACTGTTGGCGCCCCTGCCCCACGTGAAAAGGTGCGCTGTGGTGGTGAGCGCTGCCATGTGGTGTGCCCCACATGACACCTGCTCCACCTGCTTTTGCTGCAATGGGCCGGCCACTCGCGCTGGAGAAGAGACGGGGGAGGATGGACACAGGGAGAAAAGAGAGGTCCACATGGAGAATGCATTGGTGGGAGTCGAGACAGAAGCACAGACAGCCTGATTATCTTACATGGGGGTCTGTCCTACCACGAGAGGTGTGCGACAAAAGCACACAGCAGCAGCAGCAGCAGCAGCACGCACCTGGCAGCTTGCCATCAGCTTGAGGGTTCCCCAGCTGGCCATACTCCGCACTGCCCCACGTGTACACCTGCCCTTCTGCTGTCACCGCCACTGTCACACTCTCCCCGCACGCCACCTGAGGGAGACAGGAGACAACCAGGAGCGGATCAAGAGGCGACCACACAGAGGAACAGCAGACAGACAATGCACACGCGGCAGAAGGGCAAGGTGATTCACAGTAGATGGGACCGAATTTCTAGCCTGCCTGCCCTGCCTGGCTTGCCTAGCCTCTTGGACCTGGTAAGGGCACCTGCTGCTGCTGCTACTACTGCTTCAACCATGGCCCGGCTAGTACACGTCCCCATCGCCCCATGTAATCACTTGCTGCAGGTATCCGAGAACTCAAAGGGAACACGAACCTGAGAGCAGCTCTGCTGGTGCAGGGCGTTGACCGCAGCTGGCAGCAGCTGCTGCTGCTTGTGCCCATGGCCCAGCTAATACCTGTCCCCATCGCCCCATGTGAACACCTTAGACATCATCCCAGAATGTTAAGAAACACGAACCTGAGAGCAGCTCTCCTGGCGCAGGGCGTTGACCAGAGTTGGTAGCAGCTGCTGCTGCTTGTCCCCATGGCCCAGCTTGTACCCGTCCCCATCACCCCATGTGAACACCTGCCCACAGCCCCCCATGCCACTGCTGCTGCTGTTGCCCCCACCACTGCCATCGCCTGACGGGCATGTGTCCACTACTGCTGCAGTGTGCCACACTCCGCATGCAACTCTGAGGGTTCGGTAGCCCTGTAGCGCCTGCACTTGCCTGGGCACTGGGACAACCCTGTGACAGGGCGGGTGAGGTAGATTAGGGTCAAACAAGAGAAGCGGATAAAGCATCGCCAGCTTGCATGTGCTAGAATTGTGACACATGTGTGCTACATGCATGGCAGGTGTGCGTGCTGGACATGCACTAGGTGTATGCCACCAAGCAAGGTCAGAGACCAAACTCAGTACAAACCCGATCATCCCCATGCCAACTCACTCGCAGTTGCCATGGCCCAGAGCGCCAAACGTGCCGTCGCCAAACGTGAACACCTCCCCTCCACCCGCCACCACGGCCACATGCCAGGGCCCACATGCGACCTGCACCACATGCACCCCGTCCAGAGGGCCGCCCAACCTGCGCGGCACCCACTGCGGCATGTCCCCATAACCCCCTGATCCAAGCAGCCCCTGGCACCTGCGCCCGTCCCCCCATATGTACACGTCGCCCCCTCGCGTGAGGGCGCAAGTGAAGTGCGTGCCACACGCCACCTGCCCAAGGAAATGGGGGGACGGAAGGGACGGGCGAGAGTGGTCAGCACTGGGGCATGTCCCCGTACCCGCCTGACCCCAGCAGCCCCTGGCACCTGCGCCCGTTCCCCCATATGTACACATCGCCCCAGCGCGTGAGGGCACACGTGAAGTCCAGACTGCCCTTGCCCTCTCTTGCACGCAACCTTATTCTCACGTGCGCTTGCCAGACGCCTCACCCCACTCCTCACCTGATCCACGCGCAGGCCCCCCAGCGCCTCCACCAGCTGCGGATGCTCCACGTCCTTCTCCACGCCCTGCCCCAGCCTCCCCCCGGACTCCTCCCCCCAGCACAGCACCTCCCCCTGCCGCGTCACCAGCGCTGCATGCTCCTCCGCGCACGCCACTCTGCATATATCCAGCACCACCCCGGATTCCAGCGCTTTCGGCGCCACACTGTCGTATTCCGCCCCCATCACCATCCTCTGCCCGCCCTTCTTTCTCATCCCGCCTCCCCCGAGCGCGCCTTCCCCCAGCCCCTCCCCCCACATGAACAGATCTCCTAGAGACTCTCCCCCCGCGTCCTCCCCTGCGCTGCTGGTTGTGCTCGGGTGACTTGTCACTGCAGCAGCATCGGCCCACATTCCCGAGGGTGGTTTACCCTGCGCAACAGCTCCAGACTCCGTTCTACTGGAAGCAGAGGATTTGTCCCACCAGGAGGAGGAAGATGAGGACGTGGTGGAAGGGACAGAACTCGTCCCGGGCCCAGCCGCCCCCGCTATAGTCACACTACCACTGGCCACCCCACCACCACCCCCACCGCTCCCAACCCCTCCAGCCCCACCACCACCGTTACTATTCACCCCCAGAATCGACTGTGCATTGGCGGCGGACGCGTGGTTCACAGATAGCACAGAGAAGCCACTGAGAGAGGCGGTGTCTGAGGCATCATCACCATCACTGGAGCGGTCATCTGCTGCTGGGTACGTTGAAATGTCCTGAGCGGACTTGGACGCGGGCATGGGGGCCACGTCTGGGCTCAGCCTGTCCGGCGGACTGGCAGTCGCGGACCCGCCTGCCTGGGGCTGAGTGGGGTGCGGAGGGGTGGAAGGGGATGGGGACAGAAAGGAAGTGTGTTGAGAGGACTTGGACGGGGAAATGAGGCCCGCACAATAACATGAATGCTGAGCGATTTATAGAGTTTCGTGGGGGTGAGATTGAGAAGGAAAGTAAGCTTAAGAGGTAGTCTCTTCCTCCTGGGGCGCCTCATAGAGTACCTTACGGTCCACAGAAAAGAAGGGCGAGGAGTTGGGTGACCAGTCTTGCGTGCCTCTCTCCGCCACCACCACCGCCTGCCTGCCCAACCGTTCCGACTGTGTACGGCGCTGCTTCTCCACGAGCGCTCCAAGCCCCACGAACCACATCTCCGCCTCGTCCGTGTCCTTGCAGATCTGCCACACCATCAATACCACCACCAGCACCAACAGCAGCACACGGAGTCGGGTTCAGATCATACTTCGCTGCGTGCCCTCTCGCTGGGGCTGCCTCGCCCTGGGCCTGCCGCCTGAATGAACGACAGATGAAACCGCACAAGCAGGCGCTCACGGAAACGACAAGGATGAGGCCCTGGATGTTCGGAAAACGTGCAACGGGAGGGATGAGACGTACGACGTCGATGGTTCGTTCCCCGTTGCAGAAGATGATGGAGAAGGACTGGTTCTCCTTGTCGGGCCTCAGGTGCCGGTGGAATATGGCCTGCCGACACACACGTACGCAGCACGGACGCACGCAAGCACGCACACAAGGACACACGCACGCATGCACGCATGCACGCACGCACGTGCAAGCAAGCAGGCAGGAGGAGGAGGAGCTGGTGTTACGACGGGCAGCAGCAAATGCGAACTGAAGAGGTGCATCCGCGATATGGGGAATCAGAAACGGCTTTTGAGAGCTTTGAGACGTATCACAACATTCGAAAACGGGGCTATACTCACTGTCTTCTGGCCCCACGCGATCGTGCTGACTGCGGAGAGAGGAAGCGACTTCTCCCGGTCCCCCGAGAGATACACCAGCTCGGACTCGTCCTGCAGCGCAAATAGTGGGAGGACGCGGGACACGATCGCGGTAACCCATGCAAATGCAACGATCAGCCACGCAAATGCTGCGGCAAGCCATGCATAAGTAGCGATAGGGTGGGCGATCCGGCGATCACTGCGTATCACTTCGACTCGCGATCGCATCTTTGCTGAATACGGAACCTCACAACGACCCACCCCCCTTACATCAGTGTATAACAGAATCTCGCAGCCTTGACGAAGAAACACGCCCTAAAAAAACAAACGCCTGCGCCGAGCAGCAGAATGTGCGAATCCGAACAGCTTTTTACGAAGAAAAACGACAGACGATGCTACGGAAAGGGATTAACGTACGGCAGACAGGCGAAAATAGCAGGCTCGCGGCCTTCCCAGTCGGCCATACTTCAACAACCGCGTCCCTTTCTTCATTGCAATGACCGCCTGCAAACAGGACGTCGGTACTCCAATGAGCAGCAATCCGCGGAACCCTAACGACTGGCAGAATGGAAAGCAGTCAAACCCTAATCTGAGTATTCCCTGAGGACTGACCTGCTCTATATCGCGGTCCGAGAATCCCCTCTTATAGCTATCAGCCACGCGAGGCTGACCCATCCCCTTAAGGGTCTTAGAGGACGGAATCATTCTGTGGGTTAAACTAATAACGTGTTTATCAGTCAGGATTAAACAGTCACGACCAGCCTACGACGATCCAGCTGCAAGTTGATTCGTGCAGTGCACCGTGTACACAATAAAGGCCCGCTGCCTGAATGCATCCCGACGACGTAAAGTCCCGATTCACAAGCTGTCATAAACAATATCTATCAGATCGGCAGCGCGACAGGACGAATGAACTCAGGCCTCCACGCGCTGAAGATAGGAGTAAGATCGACATGAGCAGCCAATGCATCACTCGGATGAACAGAGCCTGGAGCATGGATCCTGAAACCACTAGAAGTCCACTCCTAAAAATCCTTACAATTGCCGGTGGAAAAGGCGAATGTGGACGAATGGTGCGTAGGATCCATTATATGTGTCCTTCGTCAGCAGAAGCTGGCCAGATGACTGTTTCGCTACAGGCTCACTGTCGGTGAGTGGAATGAGAGAATTCAGGCTGATCGAGAGAACAGGATTAGGAGGAAAGGGAGGACCAGCAGCACACCCTTTTAAACTCTGTCGGTTGTGTCGATGACGGACGGACGACAGACGGAACGGGAAGCTAACGAGAGCTGACGGAACATCTGTTTGTCAATTCCGAGGTCGATGGAGGGTTGTGATTCGCTCTGGTTGGCGAACTGGTGTGGCTGTGCCTCAAACCAATGACATGCTGGCTCTGAACTGTGCAGGGCTAGGCCCGCGAAAACTGTCAGATGCCGTCACCAAACTAGTGTTTCACCGCTTTGGGCAATCTCGATAATACATACCAGCATATGACTAGAGTCTCAAGATATACAAGCCTAGACAACCGTAAGGGCGTGTGCACTTAGGGCGAAATTTGTCGGGCGTGTGCACCGTGGCGAAACGTCTCATATTAGTATCGTACCGAGTAGAACCTCGCTAAAAGTTCGAACTTAGGCAGAAGTTCGAACGCCTAGTGCACGCGCCCTAAACCTAAATCGAGCAGGTGTATCAGGTTCTTACGACGTGTTTGCGACCGACGCGGTTTGGGTCTGGTCGAGTCGACCTGGTCGACCAGACCCAAACCGACCAGACCCTCGGAAACGCGATTCGGGAAAGTCAAAAATTTCTCAACTTTTTCCTGACATCTTCGACGGTATTGCGAAGCAGTTGCCTTGCGAGGCGACGATGGCCTCGGCGACCTGTGGCGAGCTATGGCAAGATTTGCGCGAGTTTACCTGGTATCTTCTCTCGCGGCGAAATCAGGGCGATAGCTGCGCGAGAGCTGCAAATTTCGTAGGCTCAGGTAACCTGCTTCACCTCGGTCGGGTTGGGTCTGGCCGACCAGGTCGACCCGACCAGGTCGACCCGGGTCTGGCAGACCCGACCTGATCCGGTTGCGTCGACCTGGACGGCTAGACCCGCGACGCAGCCTTCCTAGAAATGAGGGTTCGGGGACTGGTCGACCCGACCCATGTGGGTCGCAGCACGTCGTTAGCAGGGAGGATTGCGGTCTGCCCGAAATTAAGGGTGTGCTCCAGATGGCTAAAGAGTACCGTCGTCTTGGATTATCAGCGCCCTACGGCGCCAAGAGTGCGTGGGCTGGACGGACCATTTTTTTTGCACTGTTCTTTCGTGATATGCGCCCTTTCGTGACTGCCTCCTTAACTTCAATCAAAACACGGATCTCCAGATGGATCCCTGCGCGTGCACCAGCGTCCACAGAAGGCAAGTGTCTCGTGATGTCTGGTCTGGTGATCATTGCCTCCCTGACGTGTCCGTCCTCGCTTCGCTGCCACCCCGTTCAGCAAAAATGATTTGCTGAGGGGGTGGTCAACGCAGGAATGGAGGTGGTGTAATTTCAACGAGGTACACCCTCTCTCTCGCCAGACTAACAATGGGAAGCACTGGCTACAGTGCGTACTGTTTCTTGGACACTAGCGATCTCGTGCTTGCAACCGAACCCCAGGTAGGTGGCGGGCAAATCCACTCCGGAGGAACGGTACACAACGTTTTATGGAAGAAAACTTGCTTTTGCGTACGGTTGAGTGCGGCATTTGTGCTTATATGGTATGTTTTGGGACCATCCTGGACGCATTGATGTCAGTCCAGCCGGTCCATCAATATGGCCAATGACCGTGTGGCGCGAAAGAGGGTGTACTGTACAGTAGCACTTTTCTTTTCTGCACCAATGTGGCCTGCCCCAACCTTTACTGTACATGCGTGAATACAGTAGCTTCTGGTTTTTAAGGCGCGCGGTCTAAACAGTTTTCGTGTGCACTCTACAGAGATTTTTTTTTCGCCCGGTGCCCTTTCGATCGAGACGAGCACCCAACAATGCCTCACGACGACTCTCTCGCTGGAGGGCGGACCCTGAACTGAAACCACAGAAATGCACGTTCCTTGGTGCTTCTTGGATTGAAGACTTGGGTCCGCCAACCGCTCTGTCCCGTCTGCCCTGGTCCTGGAAACCCCATGTGTCCATCTCGTGAAGGACCGAACCACGCGAGTACACACAACAAGCCAAGGGTGAAGGACGTGTGCTCCCATAAAAAAGGACCTCACATGCCTCTAGGCTAGATGCTAGAGCGCTCAACCTGGTGGACAGTGTGTTGCAATCTGAAAGGCTTGAGCAGGAATTCTCAAGGTGTTGTCCGAAACTCCACGATACGAGATAGTCCTTTATGGTAGAACTTGCGGACAGTGAGCCATGCTTGCAACGAGAGTTCAGGCGGTGTTTTGTGCCTCGTAGCGCCTGTTGCCATAGGGAAAGCCCAGCGATAGCCAGCACCAACCGAGATTCTCCTCAGATTCTATCAGGGCGAAACCCGTACGAGGCTTCCTTGAATTCCTTCAGCGCAATTCTCCGAGGCCAATATCTAGCGACACAGACACGCGAAGAGGACAGATTGATTGAAGGAGGCATTATAACTTATTTATAGGTCTCGTGTAACAGTAGTGAACCCATAAGCTCTAATTATCTTGTAAGAATATGGAGGCGCGCGAGATCAACTCCTTCTACAGTTCTCATGGCCTCAATTCCCGCAGCACCGCTTCTCACGCCGCCACCAGTAGCAGCACCGCCGGCAGCGGTAGCGGCGGCGGCGGTGGCGACGGTGGCGGTGGTGGCGCACGCAACGATGGCCGACGCGCGCCCTCAACTAACAAGCTCGAGCCGCAACCAGCACGCGACGCGGGCGACGCGCGTCAACTAGCGGTTGGACGTCGCGGAAATGGCGTTAGTACCACTGCCACTGCCTCGTCGTCCCTCCTTGACCGCCGCAACCGCCGCTCCCTCGCCCCATTGAACACTGGTGGATCTAGTACTAATACAGGCCGCGCTGTCAGCAACGCGAACCCTAGCAGCAGCAGCAGCAGCAGCCGAAGCGCTCGGAGTAACGCTGCGCGTATCGCCAGCTCGTCGATCGCCGCGATTCACGGCGAGCCGGTTTCCGCGAGAGGAGTGCGCCGCGGTCCAGCCGCCTGGGAGGAGCAGCAGCCGTCAGGCAGCCGGTCGGCGCGTTACGTATCAGCCGTCAACGTTGACGACGACGACAGAATGCGGTATTCCCCGCCACCCCCCCCGCTTCAACGAGAACCCCTTGCGCCGCGCCTTAAGGTCGCTAACCCGCCTGACGACAGCACATCGCCTACTAGCGACGCGATAACGCCGCGATCCATGCCGGGATTCGCGTCTAGACGGCCGGCTAACTCTCGCGCGCGAAGCGGCCCATTAGCGCCTCGACGGAGACCAAGACACGACGCCGCGGTTCGCGGCATGAGAGATGGCGACGTGGCGCGCTACGACGATAGCGGGTCGCGATCTGCCAAGCTGGCGTATCTAGCGGGATTACCGTGGACGCCGACAAGCGGTTCGAGCGGGACGTTACCGTTGGAGAGTCCGAAGGACAGTCGCGCGATTCGTCGCATGAAGAGTGCGACGAACGTGCAGACCGAGCTGCGATCGAGCGCCGCGTCGCCGAAGGCAGTGCGACGGAAGAAGCGAGTCAGTATCGACCTCCAACCCACGACGCTTGACCCGCCCTGCCCTGGCCACTCCACAATTTCCCTCTCTTCCTCCTCCTCCTCCCCTTCCTCCTCTTCCCCTCATTCTCATACTTCCCGCTCCCCTTCCTCTCGTCCCCCGCCCCAACGCGCGTCGTTTCCCCCCCACCTTGTCTCTGTTCCTGCCGCTTCCGCCTCCTCCGACGCGCCCTCCCCTGGTGCTGACGGCGCTGCGTCCGTTTCTCCGTCGCCGCGCCGCGCGCGCTGCTTGAACTCGTCTTCTATGCCCTTAGATCTCTTTTCTCCGTGTCGCATAGCGAGTACAAGCCTGTATCGCCACCGGCCGACTAAGAGTCATGGCGGCAGAGTGGAAAGCGGCGATTCGCGCAAACTTTCCTTCCCCCGCCCCTTGCTCTCTCCCCCGCTTCCGCTCCCCCCTTCCGACGGGTCGTCCGCCGTCCCTTCCCCCGAGTCCAAATCCGGCGGAACGGGCAGCGGAAGCGGGCGGAGCTGTAGCGCAGGCGGCGGAACCGGCGGCGGAACTGGGGGCAGGGAGGGCGGGGAAAGGGCGGGAAAAGGGGAGCGGCCGTGGCATGCGCCGATTGACCCGTCCCCAACCACTCCGCTGCAGCTGAAGCTGAGTCCGTCCGCGGGGGAAGAGGGGCGCGACGCGGAGACGGCGGGGAGGAGCGTCGCGCGGGGTGCGCCGGAGGGGAGAGATGGCGGAGAGTTGGAGGCGCCTTCGGGGGGAGAGTTTTCCGCCGCTTGTGCGTCCGCCGGTTCGTTCTCCGCCAGAACTTGTAGCGGAGGCGGCGGGGATAAACGCGCTGCTGTACCTGCCCAGCTAAAATTATCTCTGCCCGGGTCTGGGTCTGTTGCTCCTCTTGACGAGAGCCTGTTTGAAGTGGAAGAGGAAGGGGAAGGGGAAGGGGAAGAGGAGGAGGAGGGGGAAGAGGAGGAGGGGAGGGAAGAGGAGGAAGCAGAAACAGAAGAAGAGGAGGGGGCAAGAGTGGAGAGCGAGGGAGCAAGTGGGGATATGGATGAGAATAGGGATCATATGGGGGAAGTGGAGGAGGAGGAGGAGGAGGAGGAGGAGGAGGAGGAGGAGGAGGAGGAGGAGGAGGAGGAACGGGACGACGGCAAAATATTGCATACTGCAGCCGAAGCTACTGCCGCTACTGATGCTACAGCATGTGAAGCAGCTCCCAGCGTGTCTGCGCATGACCTAAGATTGGCCTCTCTGCCGGCTGCCGTGTCCGAAGCACAGCCACACAGCAAGCACGAGCACCACCGCTCACGCTTCTTTCACTCCGCCTCTGGAAAACTCACCGCGTTTTTTCAAAAGCTGCCCAAAAAACTGCCCAAAAACATCCACCTCCTGCGGTCCCCGCGCGGTTCGTCCGGGCATGCAGCCGCCCATGACGTGCGCCTCACGCCGCCCCAACCGCTCCTTCCCCTCAAACCGCTTGCCACTCCAGTCCACGCGCTGCCGCCCGATGCCGCCCCAGCCCGCCCCCTGGCGCCTGCGGAAGCTTCTCAGCAGGTGCAGCAGGGCCGTGTGGGTAGGCCCTTGGAGGAGGCTGGGCGGAGAGGTGAAGGGAAGGCGCGGCAGGATTGGCAGGGGGAGGGCGAAGAGGAGGTCGATGAGAGAGAGGCTAGTGAGGAGGAGGAGCGAGGGGGCAGTTTGGTGCAGAACAGGACTGAGCGGCGCGAGCAGAGTGCAGGCAGCGGCGAGAGTCCCTGCAGTGTGGTTACCAGCAGCAGTAGGGTTACCAGCAGTACCAGCAGTCGGGTTACCAGCAGCACACGCAGCAGAGATGGTAGCCTTGGAAACAGCAATGCGTGCACTCCAGAGGAAAAGGAAACCACCGCTGCTGCGCTTCAGAGTGCCTCTCAGTCAGCCGCTTGTGCTGCTGCTGCTGCTGCTGATGATGCTCCCAGCAGCACCACTGCTCCCACCGCTGCTGAGTCCTTGAGCGCTGCTCTTGCTGCTGATTCCAAAATCACCCCTGCTGCTGCTGATGCTGCCAACGGTGCCACTGCCACTGGCGGTATTCTCAAGGGCGCACACTTGGGCTTGAGCCGGGCGGCGGATCATATCTTGAGGCAGGCGTACGAGGATCTGAGCGAGAGATACGCGGTGGAGGGGCGGCAGCTGGGCAGCGGGCAGTACGGCGTGATTCGGCGGTGTGTGGAGGAGGGCACGGGGCGGGTGCTGGCGTGCAAGACAATCGACAAGCGGAAGATCAAGGTGGGTTTTCTTCGAAGCTACTGCATCGCAATGTGTGACTTTTTTTCTTTTTCTTTTTCGCTTTGTAGTTAGAATTCCACGTTTCATTTGGGGGCGATGATTGATGCCTACCACATACACCTCTCCTCCCCGTTTCCTCTCCTCCCCCCTCCCCCTCCCTCTCCCCTTCTTTACCAGACGCCAGCTCAAGCCAGTGACCTGCGGAGTGAGGTGGCAACCCTGCAGCTGCTGCACGGGCACCCATCAGTCATCACACTCATCGATGCTGTTGAGGACCCCCACCACGTGCACCTGCTGATGGATCTCTGTTCGGGCGGCGACCTATTCGACCGCATCTCGCTGGGCGGCGCGCTGAGCGAGAAGTGCGCGGCCGGCGTGTGTCGGCAGCTAGCGGAGGCGCTGCTGCACTGCCACCGGCAGGGCGTGGTGCATCGAGACGTGAAGCCAGAAAATATCCTCCTGGTGGGGGGGCGAGGAGGAGAGAAGGGAGGTGAGAGAGGAGCAAAAGCCGTGGCGGAAGGAGGAGAAGGAGGCAACGGCAAGATGCAAGACGCCAAGGCTCCGCGGATCAAGCTTGTGGATTTCGGAATCGCGCGGTTCTTCCGAGACGGGGAGAAAATGCGGGACTGCCTGGGCACTCCCGAGTACATGGCTCCGGAGCTACTCCTAGGGTCGTACGGGCCTGAAGTGGACGTGTGGAGTGCGGGCGTGGTGACTTATATAGCCATCTGTGGGCATCCGCCCTTCTGGGCTTCGGCTTCCATGGGGCAGTCGCTGCAGGAGGCGATTCTGACCAGGGATGTCACGTTTGCGACGCCTGGATGGGTGGGTGTTTCGGCGGGGTGTAAGGAGCTTATAAGGAGGATGCTGCATAAGAATCCGCGGAAGAGGATTACGCTTCTGGAGGTGCTTGGTGAGTGCTGGTGGTTCCTATCCATCTGTCCTCTGTTTCTCCAATCATGCTACTGTATCTGCATTTCTTGCGCCACATACACCACCGGACACTGTACGTCCCACCGCATTCACCTACCTGCACCATAGGCCCCCCCGCCATATGGATCTCGCATGAGTGCTCATCCTTCCTCCCCACGCGTCGTCCCGATTGCAGGTCACCCCTGGATACGCAGCAGCGAGAGCAGCTGAAGAGCCCCTGAACAGCAGCGAGAGCAGCTGAAAAGCCCCTGAACAGCACTGGGAGCTAGTTATAAGGCAACGAGGCAACAAGGGCAGCAAGTCACCCAGAAGCTGCAGCGCTGCTGAGGGCAGCCGGTGGGCACAGAACCACACATATAACAAGTTCACTCACCGAATGAGGTAACATGAGTTACACAAGTAATATCCTCCACATAATCATGGAGGTTACATCACCTATTTAAAGCCAGCAGCTAAAATAGTGAACCCCCCCTTCTAATTGGGTCCACTTGGAAACACAAGTTTCTTTTTTGGGTTGCGAAGCAACCCTTTACGATCGATTTTGACAAATTTTCTTTTCATGTTCTTTTTTTACATGAAAATAAAATTCGTTAGCTACAGTACCACCCCTCCCATTGTGCATTTTTTTATTGTACTTGTTTTTTTTCTTATATGCTATCTTGTTTGCATTATATCTTTTACTGTTTGATGTTGTTGTGATAATTTCATCTATTGAATGTTATGAATATTAGTAATGAAGTACACACCACGCATGCTTAAATGAATGTAATGCGGCAAGATATATAGATGCATAATACTGATACATGGATGAAAATGCTTTGGCATGAAGCGAAATGCTGAAATGCAACATATGGTATATCATACAAATGCGTGATAGTTAACGACCCAAAAACTAGGCTACCGCATCCCCTGCCTAGCATGGGGGGGAAGTCAATAGCAAAGTCTTTGAATAATCAACTAGCACATGAAAAAATACAATCTGTTAAATTTAGAAAGCTTGCTTTCTTATACTGATCATTTGGCATCGTTCTCATTGCAACTGACAAATTACAACATGCACCTCGAGCTAGACAATATAGATGCTAGTACATGACCTGATTCCACCTACCATAGCATTGTACTAGCTATCCTGCATTATGCGTGCGTACTACCAATCATATGACTAACTGTCTGTCCTCCTGTTCCAGCGGCGTCGCAGATGTCCTCGGTGTCGGGGTGGGGGGTGGGAGAGTTGCATGAGCCGTTGGAAAATGAGAGACGTGGGTGGAGGGAAATGAGCTCCAACCCACGTTTTGTAGTTGGAGAAGGGCGTTTAGCGCGCTTCGACGATGCCAAATCTGCGTTACAGGCAGCTGCGCTTTCGAAATACGTAATTTTGAAAAACACTTCGTGTGTTTAAAAATTATCATATTTAGAAAGCTTGCTTTCTTATACTGATCATTTGGCATCGTTCTCATTGCAACTGGGGTCTCTGAGACATGGGCAGCGGGGGCTTTCGATGGCGGACGAGTGCCTCGGCATGCTGCGCTGAAGAAGGGGCGTATGCCAGATCTTGCAACTGACGGGAGGCGTTGACGAGGTGTTCGGCGTTGGGCGTGACGTACATCTCCTTCGCTGTGTCGCTGCGCCATCTGCCCAGTCGTTTGAAGATTCTGTCTGGCACACTGGTGTTTGCCGCGGCAGTGGCTGCTCCTTTGCGAAAGGAGTGAGTGCCCAGCTGCTGTTCTCCTAATCCGATCCTCCCGAACGCTTCTTTACACCAGTTTCGGATCGTCGGGTATGATGGCGGCCTTGCTTGGCCACTTTGGGGTGAACCGCGTCCAAAGACTCGAATAAGTGGCCCCGCGGACTGCTGGTTGTACCCCGCAAGTTGGATGAGTCGTCGGGTGCAGCGGACGGGGCAAAAGGGGTCATGAGTTGCGGCGATGGGTATCCATGTGCCCCTTCCAGCTTGGTCCGTCTTGGAGTACGGAATTAGAATCCACATGACCTCGTTCTCGAACTGGATGTCTTGCCACTCGATGACGATGAGGTCCGAGTATCTTAAAAATCCGGTGTACATGAGGATGGGGATTAGCCCCTTTTGGAACTCTCCTGGGTTGTCGGATTGCAGGTAGCTGGCAGACATGTCGTGAACTTGTTGCAGCGAGACAGGCTCCTTCACTCGCATGGGGCGAGGGCAGTGCCTTTTTGCGAAATCGCGTACTTGAGTGGTGAATGGTCCGATCGTTGGGCAGATGCTCCCAGTCATGCGGTGTGCAAAGCTCACGGCTGAGCATGTGAGTTGTACCATGGACAAGGTGGCTTTGTGTTGGATCGCGTACACCAGGTACAGCGCGAGGGTCATGTCCGCCGTGGGGAGGAATGGGAGGTTCACCTTTGCACAAAAGGCTCGAAACTTGACCCAGTATGGCTCATATGTTTGGATTGTTGAATCGGCTCGAGACTGGGAGAGCATCTTTAGAAGCTGGACTTGTAGCTTCGGCAACACGTCTGCGCACAGGCGTATGGGCGGGTTAGTTGAAGACCACTCGTAGTGCAATGATTGTGCTATGAGGCAGTCCTGTGCCTGAGAATGCAGTGCGGTGCGTTCCTACGGCTAGACATTGGCTGCCGTGCGTCAGGGGAATGTGCGCTCTGATGTGCGGGGCCCAGTTTGGTGGGGAGGGTTGTAAGAGTGGCCACCAGTTTGCCCCCGTCCAGTGTGGGGCAATTAGGGTGAGTGATGCGTGGGTGCGTTGTGCGTGGTGGATGACTGCTGGGATCAGCTGGGGTGGTGGGAACGCGAAGCCATTCTCGGCTGTCCATGAGCATGAGAATGCATCAACCGCAGTAGCCTCTGGGTGAGGGATCTTTGAGCAGAATCGTGGCAGATGCGAGTTGCGATGGTTCGCGAAGAGATCGATGGAGTGGGGTCCCTAGCGGCGATCAAGGATTCGGAACCATGGTTGCTTCAGTGAGTAATCGTCATGGTCGATCAGTTTCGACAGCTCGTCGGCATGGGAGCTCACGCGGGATCCATTCGACAATTAGTCGAGTGCCGAGCTCCATGCAGGTGCGAATGATGTCCTTGCAAGCGTTGGTCAGGTCGGGGGTGCGGGAACCGCCTTTGCGAAGGATGAAGAAGACCCCTTGGTTGTCCACCCTCACGAGCACGTATTTCCGTCGGACCTTGTTCGCGTACGTTCGGAGGGCCCATAGGACACCTTCGATTTCCCGTCGGGTGCTGGACGTTGCGTGCAATGGTTCTGGCATGGCTGCACTGGCTTCTTCGAGTTCGCCAGGGAAGGTGAGCAGAGTGGCACCCCAACTGTGGGAACTGGCGTCCACGTGGATTACGGCGTCGTAACTGTTCCGGACGTGGAATGGTGCGCCGTTGAATCTGTCGAACTCCTCAAGCCAGAATTGCAGCTCCTCGGCCACAGACGGGGAAATGCTCACACTGCTTCCCCAGGATGGCGCGTCGTTGATCGCTTGTAACATGGCGTGGCTGAATGCGCGCGCCGTGGCACCTAGCGCGACAGCCATTGACGCGAGCGTGCCAGTGATTCTAGCCAGGTGGCGGACTGGGACCTGTCGACGTGCTTTGCTTGCGCCCAGGAGATTGAGAATGTGTGCATGAAGTGATGCTCGTCGATCGGTGCCAATGGAGAATTGTCCGGAGTTGGTATCCAGCTCGACGCCCAAGAATCGCAGGTGTTGTGACGGTGACAGCTGCGACTTTTTCGCGTTGATTACCAGGCCCGCCATCTTGAGGTCCGAGATTATCATCTGGCACGTTGCTTGTGCATGTGCCTTGGACTTGCATAAAAACAGGATGTCGTCCACATAGGGTACAACTCGGATGCCTTGTTCGCGCCAGCGCCTGGCTAGTTGTTTGATGAGTTGTGTGAAGACAAATGGTGCTGTCGCGAGGCTGAAGGGCAATGAGCGGAAAGAGTACGTGCTCCCCTCAAATTCGAAGCCGAGGAATGTCCAGCATGAGTGGTGTATGTCGATGTGATGGTATCCGGATTTGAGGTCGATGGAGAACATCCAGTCGCCTGTGCGTGCCAGGTCGGCAACGCGGCTTAGCCCTTCGTATTTGAATTTGGGGATGATTAGTTGCGCGTTCACTTTCCAGAGGTCGAGAATAAGCCTGCATTTGTCACGTTGCTCAACCACGTTGAGTGGGCTGATGCATGTTAGTTCCGCTGCTGGGGTAGCTACCGCCGCTCCGGTATCTGTCAGTTCGCGAATGGCAGTGCGTGTGAATGCCGCGTGTGTGTGCACGCCGAGATGGTTGCGCTCGTGAAACGGTTGTGGGGGGTTGTGGCTCCATGGTAGCCAGTAGCCGTTGGCGATGACCGAGAGGATGAGGCTACTTGGGCACCACGAGCCCCACCATGCGAGGGTTGCGCGAAGCCGCCCGCGCATTTGCATGACGGTCTTGTCTGTGACGGCGAATTCGTACGGATCGTCGTCGTCGAACACCTCATGGCGTATTGCCGCTGCATGTTTGCGAAATGAGGTTCCTATGGATATGATTTCCAGCCTTCGTGCGTGAAATGGCGGAGCATGTGATGAATGCGTGCTTGTTGACCCATTCGAATACCATTTGTCACCCCTAGCATCCGCATTGTACGGGTTTTTTTTTTTTTTTTTTTTTTTTTTTCAATCCACCAACCAAGGTGCGGGTGTGAGTCTTTCCGCGTGGTCACGTGGCCACAACAGGAGGAGAGGGAAGGAACTCTCTCGTGTCCTCTCTCTCTCCCTCTCTCTCTCTCTCTCTCTCTCTCTCTCTCTGCCTCTCTTCATTCTCGCATACACACACACACACCCTCTCTTTTGTTCTCACTCTTGCTCACCCAAGGCAATGGCTGCCCGTCCGATGAGTGCAAGGGCCATTGATTGGGGTCGTACGGTACATATCTTCGCCCCTTTTTTTTTTTTTTTTTTTTTTTGCCTCCATCTCCCTTTCTCTCCTTCTCTCTTCTTCTTCTCCTTCGTCTTCTTCTTGCTCTCACTCTCTCTCCCTTTTTTTTTTTTTCATCATGAGCCAAAATCAGAAATCGCTCCTTTAATAAGTCCGCCCTTATATGAAACGGGCCATACATTGCCATGCTCCTAGCATGCCTTTGCCCCTACCGCATGGGCTAATACTAAGGGCCAAGAGGTTTGTAATTCCCTCCCCCGCATCCTAGGCCTCTAGCCTATCAATCACCCCTCACTAGGGCTGGCCAACCGCCATCGCTAACCCCT